TTTTAAAGATTTTATTTATTTGTCGGAGAGAGGACACAAGGAGGGGCAGCGGCAGGCAGAGGGAGAGGGAGAAGCAGGCTCCCTGCTGAGCAAGGAGTCTGATGCAGGAACTTGATCCCAGGACTCTTAGGATCATGACCTGGGCCAAAGGCAGAACACTTAACCGACTGAGCCACCCAGGTGTCCCTATTTCCCATTGTTTGAATTACCTGTTTAGATGAACTTTCACTTTATTTTTTCAAAGATACTCCATAAAGAAATTGGCATGTAAGGGTACAAAAATGTCTTACATTCCTAAACTTAAAACTGTTAATGAGAACTGTTAATGTTTGATTTACTAATTATGTCAGTAGGAAAATGGCAAGTCTGTGCAGGTCTGGAGCAAACGTTTGGCTTCACATGTCACAGATTTTTAGACATCTCGTGTACTATACTCTAGAAAGACATTTGTAGTTGCTTCTAATTCCGTATTCCTCCCTTTGTTCAGTTCCATCTTTTTGCTGTTTCTCTTCCCTGTGTCAGCTGTTATTTCTTAATCCCATCAACTGCTTTCTTCTGTTTGTATTGACCTTATCGTGCCCAGGCTTTCTTAAGTAATCAGTGGCAACTAAGAAGAGTAAAACAGTTTGGGAGTAGGTTTAATGTTACCACAAGCCAGGCTTTTTCTTTTCACATTTATGTAGATTTTTTTGCTCAGTTTATTTTTTTAAACATTCCAAAGGAATAAGTGCTGATTCAATAATCTCTCACCTGTTGAGGTGGAATTTTGTTGGCAATCTTTATTTAGCAATGAAAATGCCATTAGTCACAGAATTTCCCGATACTGACTTTCACGTAGACCTAGTACAGTGGAAGAAAGTCTTAGTATTTTATGGTGAAAGGAGGATATAGTTTTTAGGATTTTGAAAAGGGATATAACAACCATTTGTGGTGTAGTTTGTTAGGACAACTGTATTTTGCTCTAAGTGATCTGTTGCAAATTCAATCTATGCACATAAGCCAAATATGAAGGCTGCATCGGGGGTGGGAGGGATGGCGTGGCTGGGTGATAGACATATTGGGGAGGGTATGTGCTATGGTGAGCGCTGTGAATTGTGTAAGAACTGTTGAATCACAGATCTGTACCTCTGAAACAAATAATACATTATATGTTAAAAAAAAAAAGATAGGAGGGGAAGAATGAAGGGGGGGGACGAACCATGAGAGACTATGGACTCTGAAAAACAGGGTTCTAGAGGGGAGGGGGGTGGGGGGATGGGTTAGCTTGGTGATGGGTATTAAAGAGGGCACATTTTGCATGGAGCACTGGGTGTTATACGCAAACAATGAATCATGGAACAACTAATGATGTATGGTGATTAACATAACATAATAAAAAAATAAACTGGAATGTGCAACTGATGTATATGTGAAGCTTCATTTGACTTTTTCTTTAATGGAGCATAAATTGTGTTGGCAACACAGTGTCAGATACTACATGTACTTGGGATAAAATGTCACTTGCCAGTTTGATTAGAGATGGCTAGATTTAAGTAGTTCAAGACTAAGTAGACATAAGAACTTTACTGATGAACAGAAGACCTTCATCCAGCTGGCATAGGAAGTGACTTCAGTCAGCCAGGTGTCTAGGTTGAGTTTAGAATATAAGTTGTGGAAAATTGAATTTGGGGAAATTTCTTGAGTTAACCTCTCCAAACTGAGATAAATGAATTTGAGGCTTGCAGTTAGCTGAGATCTTGGTCAAATTAAATTGGACTATTCACTGAATAACACTGTTGATTACATGTTACCAGTATTAGAGCATTTATGCGCAGAGTGAGGCTTACATGACATAGTTGCATCATATTAGATGTAAAAAAGCATTGCAGGCAATAGCATTCAAAATTATTCAGTTCTTTGGGACCCCTGGGTGGTTCAGTTGGTTAAGCATCCTACTCTTGATCTTGGCTCAGGTCATGATCTCAGGGTCCTGGGATGGAGCCCCACACTGCTTGAGGATTCTCTCCCTCTACCCTCCCCACCCCTCACCTGCTTGTGCATATGTGTGTACCTGTGTTCTCTCTCTAAAACAAATCTTTTTAAAAATTCTTCAGCTCTTTAATTGACAATATCAAGTTGGCAAAGATGTAGGGCAGCTGGAACTCTCTTATATATTGCTGGTAGGAATGTAAAATGGTACGATTACTCTGGAAGATGGTTTGGCAGTTTAAAGTAAAGCCATGCACTTAGCACGTAATCAGGCCATCCAGTTCCCCTTCTAAGTATTTATCCAAGAGAAATGAAATTTATCCACCTGTAGACGTGTACTTGAATATTCATAGTAGCCTTATTCATAATAGCCCCAAATTGGAAGCAATCCAAATGTCCATTAAAAGATAATGGAGTACTAATTTAATAAAGGACTTACTGATGCATGCAACATCATGTATGAATCTCAAAAGCATTTTGCTGAGTGAGAGAACCAGACACAAAAATCTATACTTTTTATGATTCCATTTATATGAAATTTTCAAAGGCAAAAAAAATTTTTCGAGTAGTGAAAGATGAATATTGCAGTGGTAATGAAGGTGAAGGTGGTGAAAAGGGGCATGAGGGAACTTTTTGGGGTGATAAAGTTCTTTATTATGATTGTGATGGTTTTAAGACCTGTATGTATGCATTTGTGAGAAGCCGTCAAATTGTACATTTAAATTGGTGAATTCGTTTTGTAAATTATACCTTAAAAATTCCTTAGCTTGTTATGTCATCTCTTTAAGTATTAGATGGTATGGAAATTTTAAAGTTTTACTACATCTTAATCCTAGGCGCAGATATTGTTTTGAGACTATCAAATGAACAAATTGAGTTTGTTACAACCATTATTTTGGTACATCATAGTTGCGCTTTGATTTTTGTGAATAAAAGGAAGACTAACAATCTTGAACAGTTGTGGTGATCAAAGAGTGAGTCACACAAGATGTTAAGGTCAAGTTACTCTGAGTCTAGTACGTTTGAAGTCTTTTGAATAAACTTCAGGATGCTTTATGTACATGACCCTTTTTATCAGAATGGTGGTGGCTGATCAGAAAGTGATAAATAAGCAAAGCTTGCTCTCAGAGACCAAAACATCATTACTTTTAAAACCTTTTAGAACATTGCTACTAAAGAGTTCTGTTATTAAAAAATAAGGATATCTATATTTGTCCTTTTATAGGAAGTTGCAGTAGTTTGGTTTTTTTTTTTAGATTTTATTTATTTGAGAGAGAGAATGAGAGAGGGAGAGAGAGCACAAGATGGGGAGGGTCAGAGGGAGAAGCAGACTCCCTGCTAAGCAGGGAGCCTGATGTGGGACTTGATCCTGGGACTACAGGATCATGACCTGAACTGGAGACAGTCGCTTAACCAACTGAGCCACCCAGGTGCCCAAGTTGCAGTAGTTTTGTTGGAACCCTTATGAATCTTAAGAAACCCATTTTTACCAAGGTGCTTAACTGTTCAATGGACAGCCATTTTACTTCACATTGGTAACTTCATTTTTAAATTATAGACTATTTCAAATAAATGGAAAAGGACTGAAAATGACCCTTTTTAATATAAGCAAATGTTAAGATTCTGAAAAATGTTATAGATAAAGTATCCCTTATACAACTGTCCAGTGTGATTCTTGGTACTTAAAGTGCAGATTCTTGTATGTGTAACAGGTTTGTTTACCCACAAAATTTACATAAATGGAATCTTCTTCACTGGATGTATCTTTTTGCAACTTTGTTCCCTTTTTTTTTCCTCAGTTAAAATAATGAAATTGGCAGAATCTAGAATGTTTAAGGGACTTGATTGATGTCCCCTTAGTCTTATCTTTCAAAAGCCCTAAAAGTTCTTCTTACTGGAGAAAACAGTATGATGTGCGAAGAGATAGAATTAAGTATATATATCTAAGAAAACCACCAATATTAATTTTTTTAAAAAAGGATTAGTCTCATGTAAATTTTTAGCCTTCAGCCAAGTTCTCAGTTCATTTTTAAATTAACACATCATTGTAGAATTGATTGCTAAAATTAGACTCCATTATATTTATAAATCATTTTATTGCCTGATAATTACCACCTTAATTTTTTGTTTAATTTTGCTTTGGATTGGGATTAATAAATTTAGGATGTAGTTTCACATGGATGATCTTATCTAGGAGCTAGAGTGGTGGTGAGAAAAGTCTGTTTTAAGGGAAGTGGAAACCTCAAGAAGGGATTTTCTAGAGAGTCTAAATGGTAACTATTTTGAATTAGAAAATGAGCCATACTTGCCTAAAGGATATGCTTGATAGGATTTTACCCCTGTTTGGGTGGTTGTGGTTGAAGATAATGGCACTGTGGTATAGTGGTTCTTACTGAGTACCCGTTATGTACCAATCACTTTACACGGGTTTTTACCCCGAAGATTCAGAACAACACTTTTTGCTGTTAATACTGTAATAGTCACCGGTTCTGTTGAGTTTAGTATTAATGGCCATGACCAATTTCATATGTGATAATATTTTAGTTCCCATCTACTCTGTCATTTTGTTGACCTACTTACTCTCAGTTCTCACTGGTTTGTGCTTGTATATACATAATGCTCCCCACTTCTGATGATTTATGGTCTTTGAGAAGACTGTTTAACAGTTATGTGTGATGAATAAGTGGCCTTTGAATTTGGGATTTTTAAGAATCTGAGTGAACTAAAGTGAACTAGAAGTTCACAAGATTCCCTTATCTTTACATTGAATGAAAAACTTAAATTTATCTTTTGCTAATCAGTGCTAAGAAAGAATGGTGTTAATAGAATAGCTGAATTCCGGGTGGTGTGTATGTGCTAGTTCTGAATGAGTGCTCCCATTAATGCTGAAACAAATTCCTCGAGAACATCAGTTTCCTGGATATTATTTGAAGAGAATATCTTCAGTGGATTGATTGTACTAAGTAATTGTTGGAAACCCAACCTTTTTTTAAACTTCATGGTTTTCATCTTGCCAAAATTTTTTTTTCTAGAACAAATTCTGTACAACATAAAACAAGAGTATAAACGCATGCAGAAGAGAAGACATTTAGAAACTAGTTTCCAACAGACAGATCCATGTTGTACTTCTGAGGCACAACCACACGCATTTCTCCTCAGTGGACCAGCTTCACCAGGTAATAATAAATTTAATAAGTGAAAGGAAATACTTAATATGGGAAAAGGTGATCAAAGTTGTTTTTAATCACTCAAGCTTCTGTTTTTCCCCCTTGGTTTTTAAAAAATATTTATACAAATAATTCATGATCTCTTAGAATATGGCAGAGTAAGTACTTGCTACCTGGATTCTCACTACTCAGAGATGACCACCTGGATAAAATATAATATCCCTCAAGTGGACTTCCCATAAGTGATATGATTTGTAGCCTTAAGAAAAAAATATTAACGATATGCCATGTATATTTCTGTTAAGTATAGGTGTACCTTGCCATGGTTGAATACTATGCTATTTTATGGACTTCCCATAATTATTTAACCGTTAATGAAGATAATCAGACTGAATTTCTGGTATTAATAGCATTTCCTTGTACATATACCCTTACACACTTGTCCTATTAGGATAGATTCTCAAAGGTGAAAAGTGGCTCTTATCTTTAGTAAAGTTCTCAGCAAAATAGTTTTCTTGTGACCAAAGTTGCCTGCCCCCTTTCCTTCCCTTCCAGCAGGGATAAGAAAACCTGGCAGAATAGAAAAACATTCAGGGGCTGCTGGCTGGCTCGGTAGATAGAGCATTCACCTCTTGATCTCAGGGTTGTGAGCTTGAACTCCACGTTGGGGGTAGAGTTTACTTTAAAAAAAAAATCAAAATCTATAAAATAGACAAAACTAAGAAACATAAAATTGTTCAAAACTAAATTCAGTTGGGGGCGGGGGCAGGTGAGTAAGTGGGTTAAACATTAGGGGAGATGAGGGTCGAGACTAGACTTAAATCAGCAGGAAACTAAGTTTGTCATCATTCTTTTAGTCAGTTTACTTGGATCAACTAACTGGCAGCCTCAACTAACAAAGCTAGGAATTTGAAAGTAAAGATAGCCTTCATTGTTGTAGTTAAAGCTGGTATACTTTATCTTGTGATAGACACAGCTCTAATAAGCATAATTAACTAACTGGTCCCAGCCATGCAGGTTTCAAAAAGCAAGTGAATAGAGGAATTGGGGGTACCAGGGACAGATACACAGAGTAGGACTATTGATAGCAAATCTGTGTATTTGAGCATGTATAAAAATATTTGCAGCAGTATTAAAATAGATACATGGTGTCATAATCCTGAGTTCTCAAAAGATTAATTTCAGATGTTCTTTTCAATAAATGAAGAATGATGTTTTTGGAAAATCAAAGTTCCTTAAGTAGTACTTTAAGAGGAATGCATTCTGAAGAAATCTTTTATATCAAGTATCACTAGCTGAGGATGATACGTGGCTGTTCGACTAATACTCTTTAAGTACTTGGAACCATAAAATGTAATGTTGAATATTAGCAGTATATTCTCCTTATTTATTTTTACCAAGCTGTCTCCTAGCTGTTGTTGTTATTTAAAAAACAAAAACTTTGTATTTGTACTTTTCTCCAGTCACCCTCAGACTTTTTACCTTATAATCTGATCGCATACATCTTGCTGTTTTTCTAGAGCTGTAAGCTGCTGATAGGATTAAACCTGTTTTAAGACTACTGATAGAAAATACTTTTATACGATAAATAAAATCTTAAAAAAAAGAAAATGCTTTTATACGAATACTGAAAAAGATCCAAATCAAACGTCTTCAGTTAGAAGATACCTTTTATGATGGCTCTAAATCATGTGCTTTTTCTGTTCATGTTATACATAGGGACTTCCTCTGCAACATCCTCACCATTAAAAAAAGAACAGCCCTTATTCACTCTACGGCAGGTTGGGATGATCTGTGAACGTTTGTTGAAAGAACGTGAAGAGAAAGTTCGAGAAGAGTATGAAGAAATATTGAACACAAAACTTGCAGGTATGAGATGAGCTTATTTTAAAGTCTCCCAGAGAAAAAAGTAGAAAAACAAAGTCTCCCAGAAACTCACTGTAAGGAATGATTATTTCCCACGTGTTCTTAATGTCAATTAAATTACCCTTTCTATCCACTGGTTACAGTATGTTTTCTAAGAACCAGTTGAATTTCAGTTTTAAGAAAGGAAATGAACCTTCTTGTAGCTCATGGCCCTCCTTAGTGACCTCAAGAAATTGTGTTAGTTAACCAACAGTATTAACGTGAACTAGATTTTTCCTTTGATATTCCTGTGCTAAAAACTTGACTGTGGCTACTCACCTCAATTTGGTTTTGGATTTTTAGACTACATCTTTCATGATAACTTTCCCATCAGTCTAGACACATTTATTGTGTATGGTCAGTTAATGAGGATTTTTTCCCCCCTGATTTTAAGCCACACACTACTGGGTATTGATAAGTAGAAGCTTTTTTATTCTAAAGTTGTTAAATGAAGGTGCTAATATAGGCAAGGGAATTTGCTTAGTTCTTTTTCTGTGACATCTCATTAGGTTACACGTGGATGCTTTTCAACATACTTTGTTAAGCTTTTGTTTTCCTGTTTCTCTCATTGCAGTAAACTGCCATTCATAGATCACTTACAATAAACCCTTTATTTTTATTTTACTTTAAAATTTTCATTGTTATGTTAATCACCATACATTACACCATTAGTTTTTGATGAAAACCCTTTATTTTTAATAGATTAAGAAATAAGCTCCCAGCCTATACATAAGATCATGTGATTTGGACTAAAATGTAGGTTTCCTGACCAAGTTCTGCTCTTTCATTTGATAACACTACTATTATTACTATTACTACTGAGGTTATGTGTCTGATTCAAAGGGCCAACTTGTAATTGTTTCACTATACATCCTAGATTTTTCAGTTTATCTGGCTCTAATATATTAGTATATTTTGCAAATCATGTAATTGATATGTACCTTTATTTATAGAACAATATGATGCATTTGTGAAGTTTACGCATGATCAAATAATGCGACGATATGGAGAACAGCCTGCTAGCTGTAAGTATTTCATCTCTAAACTGAATGCAAAGCCATCTTTTAAAGAGAAGACATTTATTATAATTATCTACATACTCAAGAGAATTTAACAGAAAATCATGGAGAAAAAGGCTGGAGGAAATAGGCAGTAAAATTTTACTAAGGTTTACTTTTGGTTACTTACCTAAGGGTAGTGTTGGGGATGAAGATCTGGTATGTCTTTGAATTTTGACCTGGACTTTGCACTAATTTTCCTTTTCCTCCCCCTTTAGATGTTTCATGAATCACGTTTTCTGCATTTGTGGGCTGCCTTGTTCCTTGTTGAGTTGTTGCGAGAGGTCCTAATTATGACATGCAGCAATGCCAATACCCCCCTGTGAATACAGGTTATTTCAAGCTTTCGTCAGTGGCAACCACTCTTAGGCAGCAACTGGTTTTGGAAATTTCCCTGATGTCAGTACCATCTGGATGTGGACCTTTGCTACCTGTGGCCTCATTTGCTGTATTATTACAATTTGGCTTCTTATATTAATATGTTTGAAAAGGATTAAAGCTGGTATTCTAAGAACATGCCCTTCACTGGTTGTGTAAATAAAACTGTAGAATTGACACTTCTGATGAAATTAGTGTGATTTTAATTGTGCACTACAACCAAGCTGTAACCAGTTAATAATTTAGAATGTAATCCCAGGACATTATTAAGCAAATAGCCTACAGTGCTTCCTGTGAAATGGTGAAGGAGGGAGGGCATTTCTGTATTCCAGGACTTCTTGGGGTTTCAGAAAGGGTTTCTAGGATTTTTTTTTCCTTAAGTTTTCTTTTTTTGCAGTAGTTTTTATTTATTCTATCAGTCTTTTTAACAAATGTTTATTGCTGCATTTTTATCCCAGTGTGTGTTTACTGCCCTTGTAGTACTGGAATATAGTTGGAAGAATAAAACATTTACTTCTAATCTGCTTTAATGTACAGATGGGTAGTATTTGAATAAAGCCAGTGTTTTAAATGTAAGCATTTTCCAGGAATCAATGAAGTTAATTTTCCAGTAAGATTTAAAAATCTAATATACCACATAATCTAAGATATGAGCCCTCTTTTCAAAAACCAAGTTCTGATTCCAAATTGCTTTTAACTGACTGCATGATAGAATGTTGCATAAGAGATCAGTTTTACCAGCTGTAGAATTTTTACCTCCCCAAGATAGCAGTATAATCCAAGTTTTTTTTGTAAAGGATGATAGATGAAAGCATGATTCAGCACATTTAATTCCCTTTCCAAACAGCTTTGTTACAATGAAGTGAGCAAAAAATGCTTCATTTCTTTTGTTGAATTCTTTTAGCATATTTCCACTAATTAAACCAATCATAAATGTACTGGGGCATATATATTTATAATTGACCTAATTAGTGGAAGAAACAAGGGATTTTTTTGCCTTTTTAATTTTGGTGATTATACCTCACCAATTCTTTGTTTAAACAAGGCCAGAGCTTGAGGGCTTTCACAAGATCCTCAGATAATTCATATGCCCATTAAGTGCTTGAGAAACGGTATAGTGCAGGGTAGCCATAAATAAGGTAGATAATTCTACCTAGTTTTAATGGACTAATAGAAATTCTTAACCTCAGCACTACTGACAGTTTGGGCCAGATCACTGTTGTGGGAGTCCTACTGTGCATTATAGAATGTTTAGCAGCATCTCTGGCCTCTACCACTAGATGCCAGTAGCACCCCCCAACCTATGACAACCAAAAATGTACTTCCAGATATATTGCCAATGTCGAGGGCTGAGGAAGGAAACAGTCCCCAGCTAAGAACCACTGGTATATTGGGATTTGTAGGAGAATGCAGGCAGTAAGTTGGAATATGGAGGAGTGGGAGTAGAGTGAATATAAATATATTTTATCCCTTCTTAAACCCCAGTAAGGGCAAAACGATCAACGCTCTCTTAAGTAAGCATATGTGAGTTTCCACATAGACTGAAATTTATAAAAGAGCTGGGTTTTAAACTTGGAGCGCCAGATACACTAAAAGGAAAATCAGTACTGGCAATCTCAGTGGAGCCACAAGTAATACAGTTTTAATTCTAGATTCAAGTTGGATCAAGAATAAAATTTCCTCCACAGCCAAATTTCTGCTTATTACCTTACCAAAAAGTCCTAGCTTACTTACAGCTACTTACCAATTTTCAGTAATTGTGTGAGGTAATGCCAGAAAATAAAAAATATAGGCAACTTCTTGGATTTAGTTGTAATTAGATGGACCCAGTAGTTGAATACTCTAGTCCAAAAACCAACCATAGTTGATCTCGATAAGAAAGATCATATTAGCTACCTAGGGATTCTGAATTCCCAGAGGTCCCTGAAGTTGCTTTGTAACAAATAGCTAGCTACAGAATTAGATGTGCTAACAGTCATTCTTTTAGTAAAAGTCAATACCGGTATGGTGCTATACTTAGGTTGCTATAAAGTGTTCGGTAAATCCCTGATTAACAAGGGCATATCACCAGGTATAATTCTTTGTATTTTTGAGCCAAAATAGGCATAGGCAATCTGAGAAGAATAGATATTGGAGATTTTGAATATCAGTTATCTTTGGCCTATGGCAAGAACTTCTCTCTGAAGAAAATGGTAAACAAATGAGACATTAACTGCATCAGCAATATTAACTGGAGAGCTTTTAGGAAAGATTCCCAGGTTCTGACCCCTTAGACTGCTTTAGAAGGTTGTGGGGAGGGGAGGACTGTTGGAATCTGTTTAGGTTGATCCAAGCAGCCAAGGTTGGAAGTAATTGTCTTTGTCTTATTTGGGTTTTCTTTAATCCCTTACTTCAAAATTATACAGTAACTGGTGTTAATAAGCAAATATTCTCCTAAAGCACCTAAGGGCCTGTCCCTTGTCTATTCCTAGACATGGCTCTGCAATTCTCTGCTCCTACACTTGCCCTAGGTAAGGAGCCCCTGTCTCTTTCCAAAGACAGCGTTTCTCTATACTGCATCCATTTTCTACCAGATCATTCCCTAAAGCACAGTAAACACGCCATTAAAAAATCTCTTGAGGGGTCGCTGGGTGGTACAGTTGGTTAAGTGTTTTGTTTCTTCAGCTCAGGTCATGATCTTGGGGTCTTGAGATCAAGCCCCGAGTCGGGCTCTGAGCTCAGCAAGGAGTCTCCTAGAGTTTCTCTCTCCCTCTGCCCCACCCTGTGCAAGTCTTTAAAAAAAAACAACAAAAAAACTCTTGATCCTGTGATTCCCTCTTGTAGTTCACTATATTCTTCTGCTCTGTAACCTTTATAGTAAAAGTCAAGAATTTTCTAATCGTCCTCCTTGCCTCTTTTAACCATCTTCTATTAGGAAAAAAAATTCATAGAAAAGCTAAAAGAACAGTCCAGTGATCCACTTAAAGTGAAAAACTTTTGCCATTTGTTTCGTATGTATTTTTAACTTTCAAAAAACATACACGATTCATCTCCTAATAAGGTGGTTTTCCTATATTGATACCATTATTCCACTTAAAATACCTAATTTATTATCCAGTCCATATTTAGGTTTTCCCATTTATTCCCCAAATGTCATTTGCAGCTTTTTTTCTCCCTAAAGCAGGATTCACTCGAACAGCTAGACTGTTACCTAACAATGTTTGTGATGTCATTAATTTAACCTTTTATATCAGTTTGAACTCCCTGTAATAACTGAAAGTTAGGTCTAATGTTTTTATTTAAACCTTTTGTGCAAGAGTACAAGATAATGTGGTCTTCATTACATTACACCATGTATGGCTTTCCCAGGACTAGTGATAAGTTTGGACATTTGTTAGGTCATACATGTTCCCTAACAGACATTTCTCCACTACTCTATTAACCACAAATGACTTCCACTTTGTTAAATCTAATCAACATTTGACTTTGAAACCTCTTCAGTTGGCTTGCAAGATACCACGCTTGCCTGATTTTCCTAATTTATTGGCAGCTCCTTCTTGGTCTATCAAAGCACACACACAAAAGGCCTATAATTACATAGTAGTAACATTTGTGACCCAAGATAGTTTTTACTGAATTTGGATGTTTTCCTTGTCATATTTGCATGGTAATTTTGATAAGTTAGTGAATACTCTTAAAGATATGTCCCAGAATTCTGAGAGTAGAATGTTAAATAATTAACGTGGGGGTATCTTTGTTTCATTGTCTTGATGAGTTCTTGTCATGGAAGAGATCCATCCAGATGTCATTTCATTTGGGTTTTACTTTTTTTCCTCATTTGGATTTTACAAGACTGAGATGTGATTTGTAAAGGTCTTAAAGGCTCTACAACTCCACGATGGGTCATCCTAAAGTAGAATATTTACTGCCTTTAAGCATAAAGCCAAAGAGCTTGGGATTTTTTAAGTTTTTAGATTAAAAAAAATGGGGCAGCAGAGGCGGTTTTAGAACCTATATAGTCACTAGGAGAAACAACCTGTAGGATATTTATCTTACTACACAATTTACTAAAGTAAGGAATGCCAGTCCAAGAAACTGGGGGAGCGGGAATGAGTGATATTAAATCAACTGTAACAAATTTATACTCCTGGATAAAGGAATTTATTACCATTATAATAAACTATGTGTGCTCAAGAACAATTTATAATTTAGTAATGACTATGAAAATTACAGTGATAATGTGGGAGAGGTTTTAGTTACAATGTAAGCATGTCATTTGTTGGGTTCTAAAGTACTCCAAAGGTGTTTTGATATATTCCTGTTTGGGGTTAACAGTCTACTTTCTGATCAGACAGCACACAGGGATTACACATTTCTTGCCAACAGTCTTCTGGTGGTATGTAAATATGACTGGTCTCCTTTTTCTCTTAAGCTTTATGTGGTACTTCTGGCTTCATTCACTGGCTTTCTAGCAGCCTCCCCACGTTAGCCTTGCCACATGGTCAGTCTTCTGTTTGGTGGGTTTTATAAATCCTAAAAGTTCTAGTTCAGAAACAGCTCTAATAAACCGAGCACTAAAGGCTATAGCTAAGGAAATTTACCACTTTACATTTTTTGACAAAGAAGTTAAAATCTCAATGTTAAAACATCACTTGTTAAACTGAAGTAGATTTCAAATACATAATGCTAAATTAAACCATAACCCTTACTGGAAAAGATCAAATGTAATTAGAATCCATCTTCATTAAGACATGAATGGTAAAGTACCTAACGCTTACCTAATTCTGATTTTTCATACACTAGGAAAATTGCTTCCCCTTCAAATTCTAAAAGTACATAATTACCGTAGAAAAAGAGAATTACAAAAATGACAGTTTTTGGACATTTTTGCTGAATTCTGGAGTATGACCTTGATAGAAGTTGTAGACCAAATTTTTTAATTTGGTCTCATTTTAGATTAAATGCAGAATCGATACTTGTGAAACAAGTTATTCTGGGATGGTATGGTTAATATTAGCAAGTAATAAGGTTGTTTGGAAAACATCTTTATAAATCTCTATTGTGGGTCTAGAGAAACTATAAACTTAATACTCTACGTATACACAGACATTACAAAACTGGTTTGTTAAAAGGATACTGGATAATTTCATTCCTTTCTTCTGAGGTTATAGAATTTGCATCCATTTTTTCAGCAGCTGTCACAACTGTTGCA